CCTTTGCTCTGGGCCAGACGCCGAAGCAGATCTAGGCGGCATTCATTCATTAATTATCAATCCCTCAGCGGCAATATACAATTTCCACGACACAAATCATAAATCAACAAGGGCATCGTTCAACCTGGGGAGATCACTCAGCTGTTTCATCTTCGACTTCAATTGAAGCGTCTCAGGGTTGAAGTGGACACAGAGAGGAGTGTCAGTCGTGTCTGGGTCATCTGTACACTGCAAGTTTTATGATTTTAATAATATTATTATAGTTGGTTTTATAAAAGGTTTCTGGCCACGGGAGACTCCTTTACTTACCCGTTCTCATCTCAGGCGTCATATAAACACACTTTGACAAAGTTCTGGCTATTGTATGCAAAACGTCGATTTTGTGAGTGTATGATACGCCAAGGAGCTACGGGGCAGCTTAGCTCCCCTAAAGAGGACATCAGCTCCCCTAAAAGCATGATTTGTGATATATTGGGGGGTCTCTAAAATACTGACAGCATGCTTTATTGACATTGATCTCGATATTTCTCTGTCATCATGGATCAATGCGTAAATTCAGGAGCGTCAGACTTCATTCAGCCAGAGAGAAGGATCGCAGACCATCTGCAGCGCGCCGGTCTCTCCTGGCCACTCCGTCTCCGGTACTACGGGCTGTATTGCTAGTAGCCTACTGATCAGTTTGCGATCGTTCCCTCTGGCTGGATGAATATTACAGGTGATCCACGCACTACTGCAGCTGGGGGCTCCATGCAAATGTTCAAAACTTTTCCCTCTCACGGAGAAAAGAAAGAACAGGTCACAAACAGCTGTTGTGTGAAGGGAAACTGTAGCAAAATGGCTCCATATGAGAATATTAATTATTCTATTTGTATAATTATAATAATAAGACAAACATGCCTGATACTTTCACAGTCAGCACAGCCCTACATGCTTGCAGCTTTTAATGATTCAGCAGTAACAATCACAGTAAAAGTGAGCTCCCCCATAAACCATGGTATAGTTCACACACTGCCAAGGAGACCAAACCTACAGGCTGCCTTTATTACAATCTCCTACAGCTACAGAGTGGGAATCTCTACTGTCTCTGTCCTCCCTGACTTCATGCCTGTACCCACAAAAATGGCTCTCAATGGCCTCAAGGACTTTCAGAGAAGATGGAATTTTCCCAATTACATAGGAGCCCTGGATAAAAACCCATGTGGTTCTGCAGGCCCTGCCAAACTCCGTATCCACACACTACAATTACAAAGGCACTCACTCTATAGTGCTGATGGCTCTGGTGGATGCCAACTACATGAGAGACTGATGTAGGAGCCTTTGGCAGGAACAGTGACGCTGATACAGTCATCCTCCTGCACTGTTGCAAAATAAAAGAAAACTAACACAAAAAAATATTTCTTTCACAGCGCCTAAAATGATGTTAAGAGTTTTGCTCTGTTACTTCCTAATTCCTGTCGCTCGCCTCGGTAGCCTTCTTGAAGTCCAGCTCAGTACAGTGTTATCAGTCACCTGTTTCTGTCTCCAGCTCGTTCTGCTTTGGTTTCGACCCTGGCTGAACAGCTACACGTTCTCACTCCCGGCTCGGTCACATATTGATGCTCGGTCACATATTGATGCTCGGTCACATATTGATGCTCGGTCACATATTGATGCTCGGTCACATATTGATGCTCGGTCACATATTGATGCTCGGTCACATATTGATGCTCGGTCACATATTGATGCTCGGTCAAGGCCATTCGGCGCTATTTTTTGACGTTAAGGTTCCGTCAAGTTAGCAAATCTTAGCAACAAATATGCAACGTCCGGTACTTTCTCTAGCGTTTAGAAACATCGCCATTTTGAAATGGCACGTTATTAAAGTTTTGAAATGTTGCAGTTTGGTTAGGTTTAGGCACAAAATGTACTTGGTTAAGGTTCGGAAAAGATCATGGTTTGGGTTAAAATAACTACGTACATCAGCTGACTTGTGTCAATTTACGTAACTTAAAATCTAAAAATCTTTAATGTTGACTTTTTGTTTCACATGGACACAAACTCCGCTCTCCTGGTTCAAAGTCGGGGTTCTGTTAATATCATATACCTGCCTTTGACGTCACAAACTGCCGGCGTTGGCTCTTGACCACGTGTCCACGTGTGACGAGTCGGGGAGTGAGAGCGGGTTCACCGGCTCCAAACCTCTCAACACATCAACCCCTGCCTGCCGATGAAACTGTCAAGACTTACTGATCATCTCTCGTCTGCTTCTGGGTTCAGAACACAAACCCTGACATGCTGTCGTTTAATCACCACCGACACACACTTTCTGTCCCATGATCCTCTCAATGACTTCCTGTCTTCTGCTGCTGTTGGACGCAAATGAAAAGGCCTCTTTTGTTCCTGGTTGTTACAATACTGAAGCCTCTGCTCCAACGACACAGATGTCTTTTTATTGTAAGCAAAAAAACATTTTGAGAGCGTATTTCTCTCCCATGCGGTCGATCCAAACCCAGAAATGGAAACTCCTGCCTCAACAACACAGCTGTGCAACAAACTTGATTGCACACCCACCCACGCACACACACACGCACACACACACACGCACACACACACGCACACACGCACACACGCACACACACGCACACACGCACACACACACACGCACGCACGCACACGCACGCACACACACGCACGCACACACACGCGCGCGCGCGCGCACGCACGCACACACACACGCACACGCACACACACACACACACGCACACACACCCACGCACGCACACACACGCACACACACACACACACACACGCACGCACACGCACGCACGCGCACACACGCGCGCGCGCACGCACGCACGCACACACACACGCACGCACACACACACACACACGTCATTCTCAGTATTTGTTCAGTGTGAATGTTCCAACACTGGTGTTTGGGATGTTGGGTGTGTAGTCATGGTGAGATTAAAGTTAGTGATGCTATATTGGAGGGCAGAAGGAAATTGCTGTATTGTCAGAATGTGATCATTCTTCTGAAACAGTCTCTCTGAGGCTCCACGTTCTGCTGCACTTTGTGAAGTTCCTGAGCTGCAGAAACAAGAAGCTTATCTGCTCTATAATTAATGACTTCATTTTTGTTAGCTTTAGCTGTTTTTCAGCGATAGCGAGGCTCTGCAGGAGATAAGCTCTGATTGCTTTCCTTCCTCCTTTCCTGCAGGATGATTTGTTTAATGCACCAGTAAACGGTGTGATGACGGTCAGCCTGCAGGGAACGGACGGCAGCGGCGGGATGTGATGCTGTTTGTGGGCATTCAGCGTTACACTAAAAGTGTTTTAAACTCTTCGTACAGTCACATCAGAGCCTCGTCTCACCTTACAGTCGAGATGAAAACAGTTTTAGCTGCATCGCTGCAGCCATGCTAACTGAGCTAATGTCGCACAAATCATTTCCAGGAGCTCGGTCTTGTTCCAGATGTTGAGGCTGTTTGTCCACATTAACCGTAGTTCAGGTTTACTTTTAGGATCTGAGTAAGCTTCACCAAGAAAACGCCCACCCGACACATCTGCACGTTGCTGATTGGTGGGTCGTAAAATACTAATTTAACATGAGGAATAGTTCTTCAAGGCAAATCACCACCATTTTGTTCTTTTGGTGCATAAATTATTTCAGGTAATCCCCTCTGTGGAGACCTGAATATAAATTCATAGTTTCTTCTGATCAGTCTGAAGGTTTTTTTCTTAGGAGCATCATCTGTGAATAAAAACAGCTCAGTGATTTTCTTTAAGATGGGTTGACTCTTCCCAGCCTACACCAAGAGGAGAGGGAGTGGAAAAGACTCCTGCGTAAGTGAACTGGACTGAGGGGACTTGGTGTCCTGTTTGGACGGTCAGCCCGCGAAACCAACGCTGTCCCCAGAGTAGCAACATGTCCAGAAACAGTCCAGACCAGAAGGATCCTTCAAGGCTGAGTTTGATTGTCCGTCTGCCAGCTGGACATCTGAAGAACGCATCAAGGATGTTCCAGGGACCGTGGACGACAAGAGACGTCACACCAACTGTTCTCATGAACCAGGAGGGACCGCGTTCTGCATCCTGGCCTTGATCTCTGCAGACCCGGGGGTCCATCAGCGCTGGCAGGGCGAGCTGCGGTGGCAGCGTTTCCCTGTTTGGCCTCATGTCGAGAGCCGCTGTGAAACAATGTGAGGGTCAGGGGGGCACTTCCTGTCTGTGGACACACCGGGTTTCACTAAATCTCAGCTCTATTGTCCCAAAAAGGAAACGAGCCATTAAAGAGAAGCCGAGGGGCTGAGAGATACTGCAGCGCTGTCTCTGATGTGTGTTCAGGGAGTGTGTGTCGCTCCGTGTGTTTACGTATCGCTGTGAGGACCTCGGCTCTGCACGACCTGCAGAGACTTCAACCAGAAAACATGAAGCGCTTTCATCAGTGGTATTTACCAAGTCATCAAATGTTCCCTGACACTTCAGTTAGTGTCAGTTTAAATACTAATAAATAAAACTAATGTTTTCTATATTATTTGTTGCCAGCCAGGGTCAGAGCGGCGTCTCGGTGCGGAGGCCACGTGGTGCCGTGTGGACTGATGTGGATCCAGCTGCTGGCTGGAGGCAGACAGTCGGATCATAACGAGCGCATTGTGAAACAGAACAAAGGCAGCTCTCAGGCTGCAGAGCCTCCATTTATCCAGAGAGGAGCTGCAGCGGCCGTTCAGATCGCAGAGGAAACATGTATGACCTCTGTTGATGAAGTTGTCTAACACATTTGACTATATTCACAAATTAATTAATGCCCACCTGTCGCCTCAGTTCCCATCAAGACCTACGTGGCTATTGTGCTGTTTTCATGAGGCTTCCATTCGTAAGAAGAAGAAGTGACTGATCCCAGTAAACAGGACGTCTTTGTTGAGGTGAAGGTTTCCGACATTTAGACTAAATGTTTACAGGACTAAAATAATCACCTGCTTAATTAAAAAATATCCCAGAGACCCCAAAAACAGCCAGGGTTCAGTTTCATCTGACATTTATTTTTATACAGTAGCATCTTTATTTACACGCAGCTCGTCTTTAACACCTGCTGATAATATCCAGATCTGTAAGTTGATTCAAAGCATAATAATCATAATAATAATCATCCGACAACAGCTGATTGAACACAAAGTGATTTTAAACCAAACTCATCAGCAGCTTCTTTCCTCTCCAAATAAAATATATACACACATTTAGTCATTAACTGCAGTTTTCCTGATGACTAATTTTATTTTACTCTAAATTAACTCACAAATCATTTTCTAACCTGTTGATGACTGTGAGTTAAAATAACATCAATAACTGAGCCTTTTTTCTAATCAGTACTTTGAGCCTCACACTCGTGCTGAGCGTCAGGAATGTTGTGTTTTACAGAAAATGTTTGTTTCCAGAAAGTGATTAAACATGTTTGTTCATCAGATAGTTATTGCACAAACAGAACCACTGAAACAGGAAATAGCAGCACATTTAGTCTCTTTGGCCGTAATGATTGAAACTCGAGGGATTTAAATACATTTATGGGCTCAAATAAGATCGAAAGGTTTGTTAAACTTTTGAAGTAACTTCAACATTTGAGGTTTAAACTCTTTAAAATTATTTGAAGTATTCCCAAAGACTCGAGCTGTGCAGCCAAACTTTGTTCAAACACAAAAAACCTCCAAGTTAAACGTTTCTAAAGATACCAAACTGTGAATTTTCAAAAGTAACTAATCTAGAAGAGCTGCAATAAAAATGTGTATTTTCTCAAGGTAGTTCTTAATGACAAAGTTTCACTTTTTATATCAGGAAACTTGTGTCATTAAAAAACTGAGCTGTGCAGCCAAACCTTTCAAAAAACTCTATTTTTAATTGTTTTAAAGATCCCAAAGTTTCCAAACATACAATGTGTCACAAGGAAAGTTTTAATGTTTGACATGAAGAGCTGAAACTGAGGGAAGTAAACACGGAGACAAGATGTGAAGTCGATCTGCATCTTAAAATCATGAATGGAAAATGTATTTGGTTTAATTCTCGTGTGGCGTTTAACAAGATTTTGAGTTTAATATCTAAAATCCAGTTTTTTCCTGTTTGCAGAAGATTTTAAAATAAAAGACTTTGTTTTATTGCAGTTTTGTTCTAACTTTTGGACTTTGGAGCACCATGTTTTTTCCTGAAGAGTTTGTGATTTAAAGTTTGGCTGCAGAGCAAGAGGTTGTTGTCTCTGACCCAGACAGGACAGTTTCTCAGTGCAGTTCTTAATCACAAAGCTTGAGACGTCCGTCCTCCCGTCTGAAACATGTGGTCTGTCCAAACACCTGATTGAGAACTACTGAGAAAAGAAGCCGTTTAACTGCCGTTGGTTTCTCCTGTATTACTTTTGGACACTGACTCTTTACTTAGAAGAGAACAGACGTGTGGCGTCCCTGATGGAACGCAATCTCAGACATACTCGGTTTTGGTCTTGATGTGGGTCCAACTCGGCTGCACAGTCCCCACAGGGATGGGGACAGGTGTGATACAGTTGTCCCTCTGCAGACAAAAACAAGACGCCAGCAGCAGAGTTCCCGCAACCAGGTGAAGAAACCCGGCCGTCCAGCCGCAGAATAGAGCGTCCCCGAACTCCCAGCGCGGCACCATGTCCGGCATCGTTTCATCAAAGAACCGTAAGACCGTGATGTGGGCGATGTACGAGACCGGGACGAGCCCCAGGATGCCAGCCACCAGGCACAGCGTCCCCCCGGCCACCTTCATCCCCCTCTTGCACCTGAGGTCCTCCAGCTGGCCGCGGCAGCTGTTGATGACGTGCATGCCGGGGATTGCCAGCAGGAGTCCGAGCAGCCCGGAGGACAGCGCCAGGCACATGAAGACCCGGGCCAGTGTGATGTCCTGCGGCAGGCCCAGCAGGCCGTCGTAGGGCCGGCACTCCAGTATCCCGAGTTCCTGCACCACGCAGGTCTCCCACAGCCCCAGCTGGTAGCTCTCTGTGGAGAGCAGCTCGGTGGAGAGGGTCAGCCAGGTGGACATCAGGGTGGTGGCCAGCGAGCAGAGCCAGGCCGCCGCCGACAAGAAGACCCCCAACAGCTCCAGAGCGTGAATGCTCGGGTCCATGACGGTGGCGCTCAGAGTCTCAAGATCCCGGGCTCTCCTGTGTGTCCCACTCTTTACCTCCCTGCCTCCCTCGCTGTCAGGAAAGGGAGGGGGTCTCGCCCGGCCATCACTGCTTCCAGGGAATATCCTGAGCGGGCTGCCAGTTCCTGCGGCGACTCGGAGAAGCCCGGCGTACATTCATCACACTGAGAGGAGCTGTGTCCCTGCCTCGGCCCCGACCCCCCCCCTCCCTCCATCAGTCAGACGGGAGAAAGTGATTGGCTGGCGCTGGAAACAACAGCATCATTCAGCTGCCTGTGAGGCCGCATGCACGCAGGACTTGAGTCAAACGTAGACAGGATGTTATCGATGCCCACAGCTCTGACTGAAAGGCGTTTGAAGTTAATGGCATTGCTCGGCTGCTTCCGCCCCCCCAACCGAGAAAGAACAATGTCAGTAAGGCTTGAGTTAGTGAAATGATGTTTGGGAAAAAGTCTGCGGATTGTTTGTGTAGGACATTTGGATTTCGTTGAACATAAAATGTTTTGGTCATTTGTTTCCAGAAAGTGATTAAACATGTGACATTTAGTTTGTGATCAGATAGTTATTGCACAAACAGAACCACTGAAAGAGGAAACAGCAGAACATTTAGTCTCTTTGGCCGTAATGATTGAAACTCGAGGCGTTTAAGTGTATTTATGGGCTCAAGTAAGATCGAAAGGTTTGTTAAACTTGTGAAATAACTCAAACATTTGAGGTTTAAACTCTTTAAAACTGTTTAAACTGTTCCCAAAGACTCGAGCTGTGCAGCCAAACGTTGTTCAAACACAAAAATCTGACCACAGATACCAAACAACCAAACAAAAATGATGCTTCAACAGAAACAAATCCAGTTTTTGTGTTACTGTTGGTGCAAACTCCAAAAGTAATGTTAGAAGAGCTGCAATGAAATGCTTATTTTCTTTCTTATTAAGTTTTTCAGTTTAAATATTTTAAAGGTTTCACTTTTTAGATGTCAGATCAGTAAACTTGTGTCATTAGAAACCTGAGCTGGGCAGCAGAACTGTGTAGTTCTTAGAGCTTCAGATGCAGCATAAAACATTAACCCTAAAACTCAATTTCATTAATGTTTTGTTCAGTTTCAACTTTGAAAACCAAAAATAACCCTGGTGTGTTCAATTGTGTTCTAAATAATTTCAATCCTTTGAAATTATATTTACTGATCATTAAATATTGTTAAATCATAAGAATTGGTATTTTATTTACACGCCTCATACGAGTGAATCCTATCATAGCGCCCCCAACCGGTGGCTATCATAGCGCCCCCAACCGGTGGCTATCATAGCGCCCCCAACCGGTGGCTATCATAGCGCCCCCAACCGGTGGCTATCATAGAGCCCCGGCCGGTGGCTATCATAGAGCCCCGACCGGTGGCTATCATAGCGCCCCCAACCGGTGGCTATCATAGCGCCCCGGCCGGTGGCTATCATAGCGCCCCCAACCGGTGGCTATCATAGCGCCCCCAACCGGTGGCTATCATAGAGCCCCGGCCGGTGGCTATCATAGAGCCCCGACCGGTGGCTATCATAGCGCCCCCAACCGGTGGCTATCATAGAGCCCCGACCGGTGGCTATCATAGCGCCCCCAACCGGTGGCTATCATAGCGCCCCCAACCGGTGGCTATCATAGAGCCCCGACCGGTGGCTATCATAGAGCCCTGACCGGTGGCTATCATAGCGCCCCCAACCGGTGGCTATCATAGCGCCCCCAACCGGTGGCTATCATAGAGCCCCGGCCGGTGGCTATCATAGTGCCCCCGACCGGTGGCGTTTGTCCATGCCTCCCAAAATGGCCATTTTTTAAATCCTTCCTGACCGGACCTACGTTTCGGAGATCACGTGACCTACGTCGCATGACGTAAACACGTGGAGCCCTCGCGGCGGGTGTGTTCAGCTGTAGGGTTCACCGGGCGACATGCATCCAATCACTGACGGTGAGGGGCTGTCAACGCCTTTAAGCTAATATAGTTAGCTAGCTGCTAATGAAGCTAACGCTGAACTTACATAAGTTATGCAGCCTACGTAACTTAGTCCACCAAAGCCCAGCGTGTTTTTTCATTTCAAAACGGCAGCAGCGTGACGAGGCGCCGAATGTCTTTTCAGCGCTGAGCATTTTTCCTGGTCGCCGAGTTTCCAACTTGAAATGCAGTCACTTTTTACCCAGCTGTCTGATCCCAGCGGAGAGAGACCATCACCACGCCGAGCCATCTCAGCTCTTGAACCAAACGATGTTTCCTCGCCCACCACGTTCGTCCCCTCGCTCTTCATGCAGAGCAGCTTCTCTACTTTGTGGTTACATTTTCACATTCAGTACTTGCAACACATCACTTCCACAGATACAAGGTATCATAGCAACCAAAGCGTCTCAGCCAAAATAAACGCTGCGCGTCCAAAGCGTTTCCAGCTTGGCGTTTTCAGAAGTGGACACAGGCCCTTACATTAAAAACACAAGTTACAGAACTTTATTAAAAAACAAATCAGTCTTGATTCACACGGGAATCAAACGCCGGTCTCTTCCATCCAGCCAGGCCACCACCGGGGTTCGTAACACTGACCGTCTTTGTCCTGTGTTTGTGTTGTAAAGCCACCAGAGGTCGCTGCCACAACAGAAACACGGGTCGTAATTCTGTGGCGTCACTTTGTGTTGAAAGAACATTTGAGTCAAAGTCAATGCATTAAACTGGTAATTTCCTGCATTCTGGAGACATTTGTGCTCCAGTTTACAGTGGAAATGATTGATGAAATGAGGGAAATCTACGTTACATTGCACGTTTACTTATTGTGCTAATAAACCTTTTCTTGTTGCTTTTTCAGAACATTTTTAACAAATGCTTTCAAAAAGTGGTGGGGACACCAGCATCCGCAGTGTAAATGACACCTGTGGGCTGAAACAACCTTTGTGGTTCACTAATCATCGAGTTCTGATGTTAAAAACACTGATCTATTAAACTGATTGTTTAATAATAATTAACATCGTCTGTCTCGTCCTAAAACACAAAATGTCTGTATTTCTGAATGGAGTTCACACTGACGCCTCCTGGTGAGTTTCAGTTCATCACATCTGAATGTTTAATAATTCAATAATCAACTGATCGTGTTCTCACACTGAAGGACCTCCCACCAAAGTTCACTTTAAGCCCCGCCTTCAGTGGCACACAGTGATCAGTTAGACCACAACACCGATGCGCCTTCATCGGGTTTATTTTGTGAAACAGCAGCAGGTAAATGTAGAGAACAAACTGAAACGCACAGCTGAAACAAAGCTGTTCACTCAGAAAAAGCAGCTTTCTGCTGTGAGGGCGCCGCCTGCTGGCTTCAGCAGGAACTACACGCGGAGCTGCAGACAAACCATCAGCTATTCTTTTCATTTAAATGAATTATCTTATAACCTTGTATTTAAAGATTTCTTATTGTACTGTTTCTGCCAAATTTACTGATATTTAGTTTGAATAATCTATACGTGTTATTAATTATCCATCCAGCCAATCCCAGCTGACATCAGCTCCACCCTGGACAGGTTGCCAGGGTTATTAATCAGAATAAATAAAGATGTTTAAATCCCTTTACGTTATTAATGTTGCGTAAACACAGTCAATTTGAAAGATGTTTTCTGTGTTCTTTAATTTTGAATAAAAATTATCACTTTATTTAATTTAATACACACATAACATCTTTAGATGCTGTGTAATGTATTTTTTTTATTAGTATTATTTTCTATACATTTCTGATCTGATTACTTTTTATATTTATGGGACATAAACACGCCTGATGTATTAAAATATAATATTATATCTTAATGACTTTGTTTCATCCTCCGCACTTGAAATATTAAATCCTGCGCGTGCGCGACCTCAGCGGAGCTGCACGTCACTGTTCCTGTCGCCTCCGCTCTGACGTCATCACGCCGCGCCCCGCCGCACGCGCACCAGCGTGGAGCGACGGCCGATGAGTTTCCGAGAGTTTCAGCTGAAATGTCGGTTTTTCACGACGAGATCGAGATCGAGGACTTCGAGTACGACGAGGACGCGGAGACGTACTACTTCCCGTGTCCCTGCGGAGACCGGTTCGCCATCACCAAGGTGAGACCGGAAGGCTAACGGCTAACGGCTAACGGTCCCGGACTTCAGGGGGTCAGGAACCCGGTTTAATAAAACTCTTCATTGAAGGTTCTCACACCAAACTCCGTTCAAAATATCATAAATATTATAGAGACTCCTCTGCAGCGGCACGTTGACATGATCAGGACACATTTTAAAGTGTTGGACTAATCTTCAGGGTCTTCTGGTGGATTCGGCTCACGGACCAGACCTCCTTCATCCTCAGTGTTTTATACAAGTGTAATATTTAAAGTCGATGTGTCTGTCACGTGTTTAAGGTCTGTCACAAGAGAAAGACCTATAATCAGTAGTTTTTACACTGGAGTTTGGTTTGATGTTTGCTTTTCTTTTCTCTCTGTCTTCAGGTGAAAACTGTTGTTAGTTTACCTGCATGACGAACCTGCAGCCACGTGACGTTTCCCTGAGCTGGGAATAAATAAATGTGTGCTCGTCTTCTGCAGGACGACCTGGAGAACGGGGAGGAGGTGGCGACGTGTCCGAGCTGCTCGCTCATCGTTAAAGTCATCTACGATAAGGTCCGTGAACGCACCCCGAGCCCGGACAGAGGACAGGAAGTGAACGTGGCCGAGATTAAAATGTTGTTTTTGATTCCTGTTTCAGGAGCTGTTCATGTCCGGAGAGATCATCGAGGCTCCGACAGAAACCAAACTGCAGCTGGTTCCGTCCTGACCCCCTTCTGCCTGACCCGGACTCTTCACCTGCAGAGACGCTTTCTAACTTCTTCTGTGGTTTGTGGGCGTTTTAGCTCATCCCTTAGAAACAACAACAGAAACTCTGATGTTTCTGTGTCAAAGTTTAATTTCTGTTAAATTGGTGGTGATGGAGGGGAGGTGCGTTCAGGTGCTGCTGGGAAAACATCGGATCTGTAAATATGTCTCATATGAAAATATTTTATTGTGTAATCTGAATATTTGTGCAGAATAAAAACCTGTGAAAAAACTGTTCAGAGATTTTATTTAAAACATGAGTTTACTTTCAGCAGCTGATTTAATCCTCCAGCTGTTTCCTCTCTGAGGAGAAACACTTTAATTAAATAAATTCATTAATATAAACTGCAAAATAAGAATATAAATTATAGTTATTAAAATATGGTGCATTCTCATAAATACAAGAAAATAATTTACATGTAAAATAAATAAGGCTGAAACTGAATAATAGTGTGACGTGACGCAGGGAGCTGCTCTGGATGTCGGGTCCCGTTTCTCTACAGCTGAGTTAATCTGACGACACGAAGAAACTTCAGTCGTCTCAGTAACAGGAAGCTTCCTGTGGGACACTGAGGACCTTCATCCAGTCCAGCTGCCCCTGATTCAACTCCACCTGAGGAGAGATCACATGTTCAGGGAGAGAATCTGGGTGACATCAACACTTTAGTGCAGTTTCACATCCAAGAGGAAAACATGAAGTTCACAGTGTGGATCAGTAATCTCGTGTACATGTGGCGTCACGCTGCAACAACACTGTAACACGAGAGAGAGCAGCCTCCGTCTGTCATGTGGTTAAAGAGTTTCGGGAACTGAACGGACTGAGATTCTTTATGTATCTGGTCTAAAGTAGGTCACGTGGCTAGTAGTCTGTGGGGTCAAAACATCAGGGGCGTTCAGGTTTTCCACAGAATGAGATCGAGCCAAGACCAGGAGAGTCAAGACCAGGAGAGCTAAGACCAGGAGAGTCAAGACCAGGAGAGTCAAGACCAGGAGAGCCAAGACCAGGAGAGTCAAGACCAGGATCATTTAGAAATAACCTGTGTTGTTGGGACGGAAGTCATTTCATTTACAAATCACATTTCAAAAACACTAACCGGAGTCCAGGTGCTTAAATACTTTGACAATTTTAATTCCTTTTAAATCAATGAATACACGTAATGCCAAAAAGCACTCTAGCAGTATAAATATGAAATAAAAACGATCAGACGTCTTGCTTTGGTCACAGTTCTGAACTGATCAGCGTGGGTCTTGTCCTCAGTACTTCAGTCCTGCTGGAAGGAACGATCTGTTCTCAGCAGCACACTTTGCTTTTTGAACTCATCAGGTCGAGTGAATCTTTTACACAGACTGAACTTCTGAACGGTTCCTCTCCTGTTTTGGGTTCCACTGTGTTCCTGCAGACTGTGGCCAAAGCTTGTAGCTCTTTCAGAGGAGCTGCGTGATGCAGACCTACTTTTATTTCTTATAATAAGGGGAAAAGAATATCAGCACATCAGAATTTAAAATCCTCAAATATCTAAACTGTACAGGCTTCGTTCTTCCTCAGGCTAACAGAACGTGTGCTGCTGCTGATCAGGGGCAGCAGAGCTGATGGTGTCTGGTGGAGATGCCTGAGCTCGGCCTCCACTTACAGAGAGCTGCAGCTGACATCCTGGCCAAGTCACTCGGTGTCTCGAACAAATCCAGATCTCCCTGAGGACCACGTTCTCCAGGCAAGTGAGGAGGAGTGGGACCTGGTGGAAAATCAGATCAACGCAGACTCCGTGAGCTGGATCCTCGTTAAAACCACCGCCCCCCTCTGACATCACAACCAGGAAACCTGGCTGGAAAAAGAGGCAGAGAAACATCGAGCCGCTCGTCAGGACGGAGAGGGATGTTCAAAGAGCCGTAGGCTGGATGGAGAAGTCCCCAGAAGCAGAGTGGTTGACCCCTGTAAGAGGACACGTTGCAGAGCCAGCAAACAGGGACAGTCTGAGGGTCTGCATGACGAGCAGGACCTTCAGGAGCCCGTTCAAGATCGCAGGTTTCACTCAATGTTTTAAGTGAAATCAAATGAAGTTGGTCTTTTGTGTGTTAAGTTTCTAGAGCGCCGAGCCATCCTCATCATCCTCATCATCCTCATCATCAGGGGACCCCTGCAGTGGTGGAGGCAAAACTCTGGCTGCTTCCAGACTCTGGCTCCATTACCCAGGAGGTTTCTCTCTCCTGTCCCCTGTGAGAGGGTCCCCGGCCCTCTGGGGGCCGTCTGTCAGACAGGAGCGGCTCTGTCAGGTGATGTGCTTCCTGTCCAACAACCGGCCCCTTGTCACCTGGCAGTACTGAGGACCAGGGCCGTGCAGAGACCTCTGGAAGGGCAGGTGCTCAAAGGGGCCCGTGGAACAAGGATTTAAAAAGGTCTGTTCTGAATATATCGATATCTCGTTCTGCATTTCTTGCTGCGTATACTGATGCTTCTGGATCGATACATCAGCAAATGCTGTGACACAGTTTTGAAAAAGAAACATACGCAGCTCTCGCTTTAAAACACTGAGCTGACAGAACGGACAGGGAACAGTTGCTGCTGCTGAAACTCCTGGAGGTGATCTGTGTCTACAGATATTCTAACAAACATAGGAGACATATTAGCTGATGAAACGAACATGTGACCAAGATGTAAAGATTGCTGTCAGAGCGACTGACCTGCCGCAGCCGCTGCCAAGGCTGACCGCTCATGGTCACTTCCATGGTCAAGTAAAACCCTTTACCACATCCAGCCAACTGAAGAACACTCTCCAGGAAGGCATTTCCATATCTAGGTCTACCATAAAGAGAAGACTTCACCACAAAGTGTAAACTATTCATAAGCCTCAAGAATAGAACGGCCAGATTAGATGCCAAAAAACATCTAAAAACCGGCCCAGTTCTGTAACAGCGTCCTTTGGACAGATGAAACTAAGATCAGCCAGAATGATGGGAAGAAAAAAGTATGGAGAAGGCTTGAAACAGCTCATGAGCCAAAGCATCATCTGTAAAACATGGTGGAGGCAGTGTGATGGCTTCCAATGGCGCTGGGTCACTCGTTTATTAACGATGTGAGAGAAAACAGAAGCAGTGCGATGAATTCTGAAATGTATAGGAAGATATTATCTGCTCAGATTCAGACAAATTCAGCAAAGTTGATTAGACGACGCTTCACTTTACCCAAAACATACTGCGAACCCAAAACATACTGCGAAAGAAACCCAGGAGGTTTTTACGGCAAAAAAGTGGAATATTCTGCAATGGCCAAGTCAGTCACCTGATCTCAACCCCACAGAGCATTTATTTCACTTGCTGAAGGACAAAACTTAAGGGCAGAAAGAACCTCGACCCTCGAACATCCAGACGGCTGCAGTAAAGGCCTGGCAAAGCATCAGAAAAGAGGAAGCCCAGCGTTTGGTAATTTCCATGGGTTCCAGACTTCAAGCAGTCATTGCCTGCAAAGGATTCTCAACAAAGTATTAAAAATTAACATTTTATTTATGATTATGTTAATTTGTCCAGTTACATTTGAGCCCCTAAATGAGGGAACTGTGTATAAAAATTGCAATTCTTAAATGTTTCACATGATTTTTTTGTTCAACCCTTTGAATTAAAGCTGAAAGTCTGCACTTCAATTGCATCTCGATTGTTTAATTTCAAATCCATTGTGATGGAGCACAGAGCCAAAATTATGAAAATTGTGTCACTGTCCAAATATTTCTGGAACTAACTGTATATATTTATACATTTTACTTTTTAAATGTTTATTCTCAGTTCATTGACATGGTCTTGTATATGTATATCTATTAAAATTGTTAATATTTACTTTAACTTTAGTATTATTATTGACAGACTTTTCCACTTTGATATCAGCCCCAAAAATCATCAATCTAACTCTCACTTGTACTTTTTACTTAAGTACTTTATTTTCTGGTACATATACTTTAACTCCACTACATTTGACAGTTTTTTAAAGTGTGGCATTTCATATGGACGCTGAAGGGTTCCTTTAGTGTCCAATAATTACGCTGGGTCACGCTGTCTGAAAGCTTCTGACATGAGAACGTGTTGCCTGATGATAAACTGCAGGAGCAAGTGTTTCTTTATGAGCTACACATTAAAAGGTGTTTCTCAAACCAAGAATGGACTTGGAGAATATTCTTGCTCGCTGTTCCTGGATGAGTGATCTTGTAATGTCACAAGCACGCAGAATGCTGCTGACAGTTTGAGATGATGCGTTCTTGCCCTCCAGCACAGTCTGCAGAGCTGCAACATCCAGGCTTCATCACCCAAAACAAAGAGCTAGAAAAGTAGGTTTTAACTTACAAGGAATTTGCTTTGATATATTGGTGCATCAAATAAAAGCAAATAAAAAGTAAGTACTGTGTCAGTACCTGTTTATAATAAAAAGCAGTGACAGGTCCCTTTTATACCACTTGTGTTGTTTAGTTTCACAAGCCAAGAATTTTCAAAACATCACGAGGCAGATTTCTCTCGATACAAGTTCAAATGTTACTGAGAACGTAACAACTACTTGTTTCTTTTTTTTTTTAATCTGGAAAAATAAGACGCACGTTGTGTCACCACTACTGTCGTATCCTACTACATTTGCTGGTAACTTGAATTGGGGGAAAATATCTGGAGTACTGCAGATAAAATAAGGGACCTACACTTTCTTTACAAACTTAAGGGAGACACATGTGTTAGTTGCTCACTCTGTGAAATGTATCCAGAGACAGGCAATTTCTAAAGGAAACATTACATTAATAACATCTGACTCAAAAACTAAGAAAGCTGTCATAATGTTTGTGCCCTTTCTTTAATGTTTTGCTATGAAAACTGCTCTCTTCATGTCTTGTCTGTGTTTGTATTAATGAATATTCTTGTGCTCAACCTTAAACATCTGCAACAGTAAAATTAATCCAGAAACATCAGATATAACAAACTTTTACTGTCATACTGTAAGTACATGTTGCTGATAATACTCACATACTTTTACTGAAGGAAGGTTTGAATGCAGGACTTTTACTCGCAGTGGAGTATTTTCACAGAGTGGTATTAGTACTTTTACTGCAGTAAAGGCAGTTTACAGTGAGAATAAGCAGTAAAGTGTACAAACCTGCTTCAGGCTTGAAAACAGCGTCCAGTAGTTTGCGTTGTCCACAAAGTTCCTCCTCGTTCTCCAATTTAGACATTTTTACTGATTCACAGCAGCTTTTCCTCCTCAGACTAC